AATGAGGATACAACTGTTGCTTCAGCTTCAACTCCAGCTTCTAGCCCTGCCTTGCAATCGGGGAAGACTGAATCAGCCAGATTCTTTGGTCTGTGGTGAAAGGGAGAAAATAAGAAGAAAAAAAGTTGAAAATATATACATAAAAAAATATTAGCCACCACAAAGGATCTTAAAATTTGTGTGGGTTTGGGGGTTTTCGAATAACAAACGGGTCGGGGAGCATCTAGTGTTACTGCTAACATGAAGTTTTGCAGTTAGTCTGTATTTTTATTTTTATTTTCTTTAAATAAATATACATATTATATATATTTTCTTTTTTAAGATCTTTTGTTAACGACCATGATTCTAGCAAGATCAGTCCACTGATATGTTTAGTGTTTGAAATGTTGTTTCTTGTTTAAATTTGTACTAGTTCGTATTCCTTGCTATGCACGAATAAATAAAACTAAAATTGTTATTATAAATAAACTAATACAATACTCATGATTACATCAAAAAATCGATATTAAAATTATAATTGTAAGTAGGGCTGAGCATGAAATTCGGAGAATTTCGAACCGTTCCAAAAAAAGAAACGAACTCACTCCAAACAGAAAATAATTATTGACCATTTGATTTTACCGAACCAAACCGAACCGAAAAAATAATTGATACGGTTCTGAATATTTCACAAATATCCATACCGAGAACTGAACCTAACAGTCCTGTACAGTACCGAACCGAAGAACCGAATTATAGCATTAGTTGTGTGTTATTATTATATTTTATGTCAACTTTGATCCTATATGATTTGAGAATATTTAAAGTGCAAATAAAATATAGTAATAATAATTAAGCTTTACTTTAATTTCATGTTTAGTAATACTTATCTATAATTGAATTTTTTCCTGTCATAAAATTTTTCTTTAAAATGGTATAAATGGTTTAAAATATTTTTTAAGAAAAAAAATATTATTTAGTTTGAATTTTAAATTTTCAATATTAGTTGCACAAATTTAGTCTTAACTAAAATTTAGAGTTACTTCTAAAGTTGATTTCAAAGCACAATCTTTAATATGAGAAAGTGATGATGAATGTTGTTTTAAGCATATAAAAACTAAATAACTAAAATCTATAGTTACTTCGAAAGTTGATTTCAAAAAAAAAAAAAAAAAAAATCTTTAACATGATGAACTATTAATGTAACGCCCCAGTATTTCAATAATAATTTTTGTTGTAATTAGCTTCCAAGTATAAGCTACTTCATATTATTAAATGTTCGAAGTTAGTTTCCAATAGTAAACTAATCAGTTTTAGAAGTTACATGTTCAAGTTTAGAACAAGAAATATTCAGATTAGATTAAATATCAAAGCCGAATTTATTAGCTAAAGTCTCGGTTTATTCTTTCATGAATTGAGAATGAATAGTATTAATCGAGAAAAGAATTGAATCAAAGTGTATTCAAATAATTATGGAAAATCGAGCCTTAAGCCAAAGCCAAGTTAAGGTCGGCTCAAGTCACGACCCAAGCCACACCACACGGCCCAACATTCACGCACAACCGAGTACATTAGCGCATCCTGTGGCCCAGCAATCGTGCGCAGCCCAAGTGTGCCAACACCTCCCATTACTCGACCCAGGTCATGGCCGAGCATCTCTTGTGCTGCTCTAGTGTGCTAGCATTTTCTCGGCCCAAATCCCTCGCGCATAACCTTAGCCCAGCGAGACCCGCAGAGCAGCCCGCGCAGTCCAGCACGCAGTCCAGAGCACGGACTGCAACGCAGACAGCGCGCAGACCAGCACCAGCAAGGCCCAAATGAGGTCCAAACTATTTCCAGCTAATTTTCTTCGAGCAAGTTGAGTTTGAACACTAGGAAAAAAGATTAGATGAGCCTTACCATATCATGACTTGGCACCAAAACCAAGAAGAGAAGATCGGGTGAGGGAAAAGTCTACAAAAATTATATTTTAAGCAAATGGAGGAGGCTTTCTTCAGTTCTATATACCCTGACTATGAAGAAAGGCTAAGGACGTCCCAAAACTTAGAAAATTTCATGCAAATTCAAAAAAAATCGATCATAACCTGGCAAAATCATCGCCAAGCCTAAGTCGCACACACCGAGTCTATAACGAGTAACATATCATTCTTTTCAAATTCTCTTGAGCCATATTGAAACAAAAGATTATATACTACCTAAGGGACACCTCTAATTAGCCTTTATAGCCTTCCACTCAACCAAACACCTTCGCCGCCGAGAGACCCCGAGAAAGAGGCCGTGAGCTTCTTGTTTTTCATTTTCGAAACTCGGTGAAGGTAAACACTTCTCTAACCCTTTTTCCTGCTTAAGTATTATATTTTAAGGATTACGAAGCATATAAACAAGGCATGTTCGAGTAAAGTGAAAGATTATGGTTTTAATCTTAATTAATGCCTAAATTCGGAAGTCATGTTTTCATACGTGAGCCATAGCCGAGTTTAGTACTCCTAAAATCCTTATAAATCATGATAAATAAGTTGGTAAAGTTTTAGCATATTTGGAAGTCATGTACTCGGTCAAGTAGAAATCAAATATTTAGGTCATTTTTTGTCGCCCGAGCCATATCTTCATTCATGCGAGTATTTGTTAACTTTTTAGTATCCAAAGTCATGATATATATAGGAAAGTATTTGGCCTTAAGTTCTAGCATAAAAAGAGTTAAGTGCCCCGGTGACTTATAGTCGTATAGCTCGATTTTTTACTCCCCAACCATTTTAAAATCTAGCCGAATTATCTCGAGGTTGTTATGTGTTTTTAGAATCTTTATGTCTCAAAGTATATGATAAGCCTAAAGTCACCAGAAAACTAGTCGGACGGCCGGTGAGGAGCTGACCGTAGACGCGACCATGCACCCAGCGTGCGCCAGCGCCCGGCAGCGTCTCTGTTCAGAGGTTAACATTCCGTTGGGTGCCTCTGAACAGAGGTTAATGACCCGTTAGCTCGCGCCAGCGCCTACAGTGTGCAGCCGAGTACGACCTACACCTCCAGAGCGCCCAACAACGCGCCTGTGTAACCAGCCTTTCTCGGTTGTGCCCGGCAGCATCCGGTAACGCCAAAGACCGTGACAGTGGTGCTAGTACTAACCCGAGCACCCGTGTGGCTAGCAACTGTGGTCCGGTGCATTTGGCAGAAACCAGCCGCGTCTAGCAAGACCAAAATGAGACACTCGAGTCATTAGTGACCGAGCCAAGGCACCCGTGTCACCCGTGACTGACCGGTTCATGGCGAGCTGCCAGTCCAAGCCAGTAAACCGGTACAGTAAGTGGTCAGTTCGAGATATCTGGTTTAATTTTTTTGGCCGAGTTAGTTCAATTCAAGCCAGTCATTTTATTCCGGACTTAGGATAATTTCCAGAATCCTAGAGTATTCTTTTGAATTCAGATTAATAATAAGATTAGAACCATGTCAAAGACAGTATAGCATATGGCAACATCTCATTATTTATTAAGTCTTTCGAGCATAAGACTTAGCATATTTAATTTAATTATGTGTAGCTTGAGGAGTTGAGCCTCAGTAATTCGAGTACTACAACATTTCTACTATTCAGCAGAAAAGGTGAGAACCCTGTACTGGGATTTACATATGTTTATTTCTCAGTATCACATCCGAGGTATGTACGAAAATGTTTCCCCGATGTGTGGAAATGACCTACCTGTTTAGGTCTATATGTAATGCAAGTGTGAGCGTCTTGGTCCGGTTTGGAATAGATCGCCTTTGTCCTCGCCGGTAGAACATTGGAAACCTGCAAATAACTCTCACACCAGGGGGTTTTTCTGATGAAGAGCCTCCGATGCTTAAATCAGTATGTGTATGAGTATTCTTGAGTTGAATAATAGAAAATCGTGTTAAGGAAGAAAGGCTCACCCCTCTTTATATAGAGGTGAGATACCTGACCTAAGAGCTGCCCGGGTATGGTGAGCTGGATGCTCAGCTGCCCGTCTGTACTCTGACATGCTGCGCGTATGTCAGAGGTGGTGCTGGGAGTTGTCAGAGGTGGTTGTCGCTGTCAACCAATGTATTCTCGCCACGTGTCCTCTGCACATGGGATGATAATTCCTTTGAATATTCCCCTGAAATTCGGCTAGAGGCTCTTACACGCGCATGTGACTAGGTAAGTCTCCAAAATGCTGCCAACACATAAAGTGGTCGATCTATTGAGGTCGACTCGACTGATCGACTGCTTAACTGCTTGACTGCTCGACTACCTGATGGTCGACTACTTGGCTAGTCAACTGCTCAACTGGTCGACTGCTCGACTGCTCGACTACTTGACTGCTTGACTACTTGACTGGTCGACTGGTTGACTGCTCGACTAGCTCGGCTTCCTTCTGGTACAACCTCTTCGACCGGTTTAGCCTTGTGGGTATAATATCCTATATCATCTAGTCCCTCCCACTCTGGTCGAGTCTAAATGACTCGACCTAAGAGTGAATTTGTGCTCATCTCTTTCCTGAGTGATATTGCCTCGGCTGTCGACCCTCTGGTGGGTTTCCCGCTCATTTTTTCAGTTATTTTCTCTTTAACTGCTAGAAATAAAGTTGTCTGTCACGCGTCCTCTCTATTGCGCCTGCACACCTGCCACTTGTCGTATCTGTAGCGTCTGTTAGGCGCTTTAATTATTGCACCCCCTCGCATAACGTGCCCCCTTTTGAATCCCGTGTTGATTGAATACTCCCAATCGCGAGATTTCGCTTTAATCCAACGACCCTCATCCTCCAACTCTTCAAGTCATTTAGGTATAAATTTAGCACTTAGGAGATTTCTGGACTTTTTTCACCTTTGCGATTTTGAACTCTCTTGTGCTCTGAAACTTCCCTGCAAACCCTAGCCTTTCGCTTTTCGGCAATTCCTCTTGCGTTCTCCAGGTTCTCTCGATTCCTCCGACTGCGATTATGAGTAAGTTGTTCTTCACTTGAATTTATACTTCCTGTGTCTTAGACTTATGCGTTTTTGAGCTTTTCGAATTGGGCCTCTCGAACTTATTTGTTGAATTTTCTGAATTTGTGCATTTTGTTCTGAATATGTGTGCTGGTTTCTTTGATTTGTTTGTTGTGTGTTCCGAATTTTCTTTTTTAAGATCTTTTGTTAACGACCATGATTTTAGCAAGATCAGTCCACTGATATGTTTAGTGTTCGAAATGTTGTTTCTTGTTTAAATTTGTACTAGTTCGTATTCCTTGCTATGCACGAATAAATAAAACTAAAATTGTTATTATAAATAAACTAATACAATACTCGTGATTACATTAAAAATTCGATATTAAAATTATTATTGTAATTGAGATGCTTTTTAATTTAATTTTTAAGCATTTTTTTAATTGTATTTTTAATATAAATGTAAGAGAAAATGTTTTTTTTTATATAATTTCTATTACTCTTACAAAATTAAATTATTATTTATATTTAAATGAGACTTTTGACTTTTTTGTAATATAATAATATTTTTAATTCCTATGTAATGTATTTATTGATAAACTTTTCATTGACATATAATTTTGGTAATTTTTAATTTATAAGTACTAAATAATAATAGATGATTGCATTTTATGATAAATATACTAAAATTTTAAATTGTTTTATATTGCAATATTAATATCAAATCGAAGTTCATCAAACGTTCATTGATTTGATATTTTATATGCGAAAAAGTGATAACAAATACAAAAGTATAAACATTTATTATATATAAAATTTAAGTTGATCAATTGTTTCATAATTTAAAAAGTCCTAATGAGTATGGATAAAATTCAAATCGACATCGGTTACCAGGAATTGGTACGTGGATTATGAAACACCAAATTTGCATATAGGATTACGAAGCACAAGAAGTCGACACTTAGAATCGGGACATTGCATTAATATACATTGGATGGATCTGGGACGTTGGGTTAGGTGTTTCAGTACAATATTTTAAAATATTTTTTTCAAAGATTATTTCAGTTTCATGTTTGTATGCATTGACAATATTTTTATTGCTTCTAAGAACATGAAGGAACATCACAAACACCTTGAGATATTCTCATATGTTGTAGAAAGAATTTAATTTCAATTTCTAAGGTGTTCACGAATGGTTTTTCTGCTACTTTCGATAATATAATTGTTATTCGCTTTGGCTAGAAGTTTATTTGTGATGGAACATTAGTAGATAATCCGTCCATTCTAGAACCAAAGTCTCACTCACTCACCGCGCGTCGCGACGCAGAAAATTTGAATTTATAAAGTTTTTTCTCAACTAACCTCTACTAACTAGTAGTAGTGGCGAGTAAGGGTTGATCTCACGAGGAGTAGGAACTAAGTTGTGAGATTCTCGTATTAATCGAATTAAAACTACGAAATCTATAAAAGGGGAGGATTGGTTTCAACAAAAATAAAAATAACAAAAGAAAATAGAAATCAAATAAAATGAGAGAAATCCAGTTTTCCATTCAGTTATCACCCAATCTAATTCTACCGTTAATTATTTTTGATGTCTTCTTTAAATTGTTATGAATTACAAACCCTACCTAACAACAAGCTATGTTAAACGAATTTTTCCTTACCGAATATTTAATAGAAATAGGCTCTTCGAGTAAACCTAACTAGTGAATAACCTAGAATAAGCTCTCCAGATATTATGTTATCAGTTTTTTCCGTAAAGTAATAACTGTTGTTGCGTGGCGTAAAAAATAAAGAGAAAATGTTACAAATACATAATATTGTAGATAAGGGTGTAAATAACACTCACATTGAGTAGGACCTATCGAAACTAAAAAATCAAGTGGACCCCACTCTATGTGAGTGTTATGTACACCTCTATGTGCATTTAATATTTTTTTATATATAAACATCCCAGTGTGGGATAGGGGGTTGAGGCTACACCCCCGACCTGTGAATATAATGGCCCAGAGAGGGCTAAAAAGTCAATGGTCTACATCAATGTCGAAAATACATAGAACATCATCAAAACAGAAAATCAAAAAGTACAAGGATCACAAAATATCCAATGTGGATCTAAAAACAAGTCCTCATAAAATGTCGAATTGGTCAGAATGACCTAGCATGAAGTACAAAACGGCAAGTCTAGTCAGTGTTAGAGTAGGATACCCAGCGTTCCAATCGGATTGGACGTATTCTACTTGTAAATATAATCTATTGGAATTATATTATTAATAAAGTATTACTTTATCTTAAGAGTAAGATTTTATTCTATAATTGCACTTAAGATAAAATCCCTAGATCACTTATGGTTATAAGGTATGGTTGCGCATAAAGAATGTGATCATGGAACATACCTTGAAAGCTGTGATCTTAAATACAGTTCCAAGTCGTAGGATGTTTTGAAATGGGATATCGAATAATCTGGAAAAGACTTGCACATATGATGTATGCTTGTTGTATAAGAATGTTGCATTCCATCAACATTAGCGTGTGACGCAAGTACATATATGTGAGTGCTCGTTAGAGAACAAGTTCACTGAATATGACCGTATGAAAATTCTTAATGAAAGATTTTTCTTGTCGAATAAGAATTTTCATGTTACAATAGTACATGACTAATCCTTAGACTTGAGGAACGATGGTAACTTTGTGCATATTATATTATACTTTGATTTATCCTTTTGGTTGCTAGCACAATGGTATAAAGGGATATTTTGGGTATTATATTAATATGTATGGAAGTTTGTCAGTGGCCAACAAATGATTCGACACTTATGAAGATAAGTGAATTTCCTATGTGTTTCATAGTTAGTAATTCAAAGTCCTTGGCCAAGGCGGGATGAATAGAGATTCATAAACGAATTACTAAATTTGAAATGGAATCATAGTTATTAAATTAATTTGGGTTTCGACAAAATCATACCCAAGATTTAATCGGGAAATTGGATGTCGAAAGGATTTTACATGTATGGACTTGTAATCGAAATAGGTTTACTCGCTATTCACTTAATACTAGATTCATGCTACTTGCTAGATGTTCTCATGATATGTGGGTTCTTGAATTAAGGAGTTAATTCAAGAATAAGAGTTAATATGATTAACTCAAATAACAAAGAGTTGTAAGCCCACTACTAGTATTAATTGTGAACCTAAAAGGTCACACCAATGTTTGTATGAAGACAAATATTAGTATTTCTAAAGAGTTAGAATTAATTGACAAAATCTAATTT